AAAAAAATACATGGGGACATAAAGTGAAGGAGAAAGGCAGAGTATAATGTAGAGCCTTGAAGGAATTGTGCAAGGAACTTTTTGGGGCAGCTAGGTGGCACAGTGGATAGAGCACCGACCCTGAAATCAAATCCCGCCTCAGACCAAACACTTGACACTAGGGGTGTGACCTTGGGTGAGTCACTTAACCTCAACTGCCTAAAAAAAAAAACAGCAGCAGCAGCAGCAGCGGATACAAAGCTGAGAGGGATAACTAGCACACTGATTATCAGTCAAGATTCAAAATTAAAAAAAAAAAAATCCTGACTGTCTACAACCTTAGCCTGAATTAAGTATGATGAAATTCAGTAGGGATAAATGGATTAAAATAATAATGCCTTCACATAAGTATAATATGAGAGAACCATGACTAGAAATTAGTTAATCTAAAAGGACCTGGAGGCTTTAGCAAACCTGCAAGCTTAACATACACAAGAGTAATATGGAAACAAAAAAAAAATTAACGTATTCTTAGGTTACAAGGAGAAGCACAATATCAAGGACTAAGAAGGGGATAGTACCATACTACTCTGCCTTGGTCAGATTACATTCGGGGTCTGGCATATTCAGTTCTACACATCATATTTTAAGGACATTTATTAGCTGGAGCATATAAAAAAGACTAAACAGGATAGCAAACGAACTTGTGATTTTGAAACATGATGACTAGTTGAGGAACCTAGGGATGTTTAACCTGAAAAAGAGAAAACTGTGGGTGTGGGGAAGGGAAGAATGCATCTAAAAGGTTATCACATGGAAAAGGGATTAAACTTCCTTTGGCTGATACCCAAGGACAGAACTTAGAGGAACAGATAGATACAAGTTGCAGAAAAGTGGTTTTAAGGTTCATGTAAAGAAAGACCTTCTACTGAATAAAGTAGAATGGGCTGTTATCTCAGGCAGGTTTTCTCTCAGGGCAGATCTTCAAACAAGTACTTGATGGCCATTTGTAAGGTATGTTACAGAGAGGATTCTTGTTTAGGAATGGGGTAAAATAAATAGCCTCTAAGATTCTTTCTAATCCTGAGATTTTGTGATCTTTTCTCTTGTTCCTGTCTATGCAAGTCATCTTATAAAGGAGCTACATGATTGTGCTAAAAATGAGTTACTGCAGGGTTTTTTTTTCTTTCAGTCATAAAGCAGTAGTAACCTCTCAACTTACTGATCGACCTCAAATATAACAAGTACCATTATCAGAAGGAATCTATTTGACAAAATTTTCAAATTAAAAATACATTTAGGAGTTAAGAGTGGGAAAGGATTGGGGGCATAGATATGTATACACATACCTCCTCTTTCCCCAGGTATCAGTTGAAACTCAGTGCACAGTCTTAATTTCTGCTCTAGTCCATGTAACTAGAAATGACATTTTAGCAGGGTACTCACAACAAATTTAAACTTAAAAAAGGGCACTGAACAACAACTATCACAGGTTCTAGTTTTCAGGATTTTTTTTGTTTTGTTTGCCACTTAGGAACTGTATGACTTTGGGCAAAACACAAATTTGCTGTCTCAGTTTCACCTGTACTGTTAATTTCATTCCTGTTCTATCACTGGGGTTGGGGTGGGGTAGGGTAGGGAGAACTTGCTCCATCCAAAATTCCCTCTATCTTTCATCTTTAAACTCAGGGTCTATAAATGCTCAAATCACCCTTATCCTGAAAGACAAAGGAACAAACAAAACCCTTTCTTTAAACTCCACTACCTTCTAAAGCTATCATATTTATATTCTCTCTCTCTGTCTTTCTCGATCTTGGCCTCCTTCCCTTCCTCCCTCTCCCTCCCCTAGTCACTCAGTTTGGAAACCTCAAAGTCATCCCCAACCTCTCACTTAACAAATCCATTTACTTTTCCACTTCTGTTGATTTATCCTGCACAAAAGCTTTTGCATCTCTCATTCCTCTTCCTTTCACTCTCATAGCTGCCATGCTGCTGCTACTTTAGGTCCTCACCACCTCTCTTCTAACCTATGGCAACAGCATCTCTAATTGTTCTCCCTACATCCAGCCTCTCCTTGCTCCAATATCTATTGCCACACAGCTGCCAAAGCGATACTCTTAAAGCATAGGTCTGACTTTGTTGTAAACCTGGTCAAAAGGCTACAGTGGTTCTTTATAAATAAAAACTCTTCTGGTTTGGCATTTAAAGTCCTTCACAATCTCGGTCCAGCCAACTTTTCCAAAAATTGGCCTACCTGCTGCTCTTCATGAAACCTCATCCCCTTTTATTTATTCCCGAAACACACTTCTCTCCTCACCTCAGCCTCACAGACTCCCTAGTTTCCTTCAAGGCCCAGCTCAAATGTCATCCCTCATAAGAGGTGTTTCCTAAATCCTCCCAGTTGCTAGTGTTTCCCCTGCCAATCACCTTATATATATCTTGAATTTATTAATATGTGTACATTGTTTCCCCAAAAGTGTGCAAGATTTTTGAGGGCAGACACTGTCTGGTCTTTGTCTCTGTGCGCCTGGCACACAGCACCAGATACAATTAATAAACTCTTGATTGATGATTTTGCATCACCTTACAAGGCCCTTCGTTCATTCCCACGATCAATCCAATTCTCCTCATCTGTTGGACCCCATTCTCTTCCCTTTCCAAACCACACAAGTTCACAATGATTTTTCTCTCTCTCCTCATACTGTTTACACCGCTCATTCAGCAATGAGCTATTCAATTTAAATAGTGATTGAGCATCTGTTGCATATGAGGCACTAGGCTAGGAGCATACAAAGATAAGAAAACCTAAGTCCTGGACTACAAGCAGCTTACAATCTTATCTACAACTTAAGACACCCACATAAAATATAACATGAAGCAAAACCTAAGTACTATGGGGCTGCAAAGGAAGAAACATTAGAGTCCTGGTCAGAGAATCCAGAAAGTAGGTCTAAGGGAATACTGAGAGAAAAGTTGGACTAGCAGGCTGGAGCAGAACTCTGGAGGAACATGAATACAGCCAGGCTTAAGAGCCTGGATCTTATTCAGCTGGCAATGCAAAGTCATCCAAAGGCTATTTTACTTTAAAAATAATTTTTTAAATCAGTTCCAGGGTGTAGAACAAAATACAAAATCTTAGAGAAGATAAAAAGTTTAAATAAAAATTGACCCCTTTCCGTGTTGCACTTGAGAACCTAAGGGATATCTTTTTCCTGCACTATACTCAGCTTGTCTCAGCTACTTAGTAAGTTCCTGGAAGACAGCAAGTGTCAGCTTTTGATTTCTCCAATGGATGTTCTTTAACACCACTTCGAGCTGCATTTAAAATATGATGTAATGTACTAAACCAAGAGGTATCAGCATTCAAAACACACAGTCTGTCACAACTTCCAACTTTAATTCTCTCACAAAAAGAAATGGGCTTTATCAGGTATCCTCCATCTTCCTACCTCTAATTTATCTTTTCCCCTCAAAATGCCCCAGTTTCCTAGATTAGCCACACTTACTCTCTTATAACAAAGGTTCTTAACCTTTTTTTATGTCATGGATTCCTTTGGAAGTCCAGTGAAGCTTATGGACTCCTTTTTAGAATAATGTTTTTAAATAATTGAAGGCAATGCTAGATTTCGGCTAGAAGTTGATGAAAATAAATATATATGCATATATAATAACAGTTAATCTTTATATAGTGCCTACTGTGTGTCAGGCACTGGGCTCAGTGCTTTACAATTATTGTGTCATCTGATCCTCACAACAATCCTGGGAGGTAGATGCTATTACGACCCCCATTTTACAGATGAAAAACTGAGGCAAACAGGGTTAAGTGTCATATTCGGAGTCACACAGGTAGTAAATGTTGAGGCCAGATTTGAACTCAGGCAGATGAGTTTTCCTGACTCCAGGCCCAGTGTTCTGTCCACTGGGCCACCTAGCTGCCCCATGTATATACATAAATAATATTCAACATATTGTAACATATAATGTAAATATATATTATATTGCATATATTAGTGTGTGTGTTCTAAATAGTATATGCATATATTATTGTCTATGTATACAGAATATGTGCGTTTTATATACTTATAAATGCACATATTTATAAATGTGGCATCTATATAACCTATATTAAAATTATATAAAGTATATGTAAATACATTGTATATATATATATATATATTTTCTTGCAGTTTGTGATCTTTATCAAAAGAGCTCAGAACTCCACGAAATGTTACATTTTCTTACTTTAGAGCATGAGTTCTTCATCTAGGGACCCTAACCCCTGAGGGCAGTATCTGTAAACTTGGATGGGAAAACACATATCTGTGGGAGTGGGCAAAGAGTTGGGGGCCCCAAATTAAGAATTCATGCTTTAAAGCAAGGAAATGTAACATTATGTAGAGTTCTGAGCTCTTCTGATACAGATCACAAGGTGCTAGAAAAAAATATCCTTGCTAGTCATAGCAGCACCCGTGCCAAAACAAACTTCCCAGACTAGTTCTATACCTCCTACAGACAATACTTTTTTGGGGGGTGGACGGGGTGGGGAGGACTAAAAGTCGGAAGAGGCTTCAGAGGCTAAGTCCACCCCACTCCCCTCATTTTATGAATGAAGAATAAGGGACCCAGAAGAGTTATGGCCCAGTGGGAGGATTTAAAAAGGGGGAAGGTAAGGGTCATTTCTCCCTCTACAGAGCTTAGTTCCCCCATCTGTAAAAGGAGGAGATTGTCCTAAATGGCCTCTACGGGCTCTTCTGGCTCGGAATCATGTGAAGGAGCAGGGAGAGACCGAAGCAGAAGCGCCGTAACGGGAACCACTGGACAGAACAGGGTGGGGGTGGGGTGGAGTGAACCGAAGGTCCCCGTGCCATAAGGCCGGCCCGGGACGGAGAGGCCGGAGGGCGGAGCTTCCATCTCGGCCAATCAGATGTGCTCCCAAATAACTCCTCGAAGACCGGGAGCCGAGGAGAACCGCGGCAGAAAGGGGTGTGTCTTACGCCAGGGTCGAGGCAGGTGCTTATTACCTGTGAAGTCAGCCCCTGTTCTTCGTCGTCCTGGCCGCTCAGGACCCGCCGCAGCTTTTCCATGACCCCTCGCAGCAGCGGCCGCAACGGCCCCACTGAGCACTCCTCGCGGCCACCGGGAAACGGAGCAAACCGCGACCTCACGGGAGCACCGGAAGCCGGGGACTCGCGCGCCGCGAGGGCTACAGATCCGGCACCTCGCCCTGGCTTCAGTCGCTCTGACCCGAGGCGCGGGCGCTATTAGGCATGCGCTTCGTTCCCCTCCGCCTCCTGCCGCCTCCCAAGTTCCTTCTTCGGATCGACCAGCCCCGCCCATTCCTGAAACTCGGCCAATCCGCGAGCCTCCGGAGACTGGAAGCCACGCCCCCTTCCCAGCTATGGGGATTTTTGCAAAAAGTAAGGAGCAGGGTTGTTCTCGTGGGGCTCCGCAGGAAGAGTGGGCCACCAGAAATTTATTTTTGTGGTTGTTAAAGCTAAGAAAAAGGGCAACAAGAACAGGTGCTTCCTTCTTTATTTCTCATAAGTTAGAGTAAAAAATCCCCTTTGAGCCTTTAATTTATAAACATACTTTTTTTTTAATCCTTCAGTGTTCACTACGTATACAGACACCAATTAATCCTTCAAGAACAGGGACAAAGTTTGGTATAAATAGCTCCAGGGGCAGCTAGGTGGCACAGTGGGTAGAGCTCCGGCCTTGGAGTCAGAAGGACCTGAGTTCAAATGTGCCTCAGACACTTGAGGCTTACTAGCTGCGTGACCCCGGGCAAGTCATAGCAAAAAAAAAAAAAAAAAAAAAAAGCTCCAGAGTTGAACTTGAAAAAAGGCAGCATGCGGTGCAATGGAGTCTATTTTGGACTCAGAATTTTAATACAAAATCATGACTTTGCTCCTGAGTACTTGTAAGTCACAGCTTCACTGTTCCTCAGTTTCCTCAAATGTGAAAGAGGGCCACACCAGCTGACTTCTGAAGTCCCTTCCAGCACCAGATTGATTCATGAAAAGAATTCATTGCCGTTCAATTTGGGGGCATTGATAGGAAGAACTGAGTTTATCTGAGCTCAACATTTCTCCACCAGGGTTTTTAACATGTTTTGGATGAAAGTTACCGCAACTTAAGTTTGGGTACTTTAAGCAGCATAATATATAAAATCAACAGAAATGCCACTGAGAAATAAAGAGGAAAGAAATGAAGGATAAGGAAGATGAATTATATTGAAGATAATGATAACTGACTTTTTTCTGGTCCAATGGCTCCTGGATCAAAGCCTTCACAACCTGGCTCCTTCCTACCACTCCAGTCTTCCTGCATTTAATCCCCTCCATATACTCAAATTATCCAACTATCATTGCTTTGCTTTGCTGTTCCTTAAGAACTGAACTCTTCATCTCCCTACTCTGTGCTTTTTCAAATTGTGTATCTTTTCCTCATGCCAGGAATGTTTTTCCTCCTTACCTCCAGGCATCTTTGTTTTCTTTCAGAACTCAGTTGAACAACTTTGATAGACTTAGCTCTTTTCAGCAATACAATGATCTAAGACAATTCCAAAAGATGGAAAATACTATATACATATCTACAGAAAGAACTATGAAGTCTGAATGCAAATCGGAGCATTTTCTTTTTTTTTTCTTGTGGTTTTCCCCTTTTGTTCTGATCTTCTTTTACAATATAACTAATGTGGAAATATGTTTAATATGATTGTACATATATGGCCTATATCAGATTACTTGGTATCTTGAGGGGGGGACTGGGAGGAAGGGAGAAAAAAAATTTTGGAACTCAAAATCTTATAAAACAATGTTGAAAACTATCTTTATATTTAATTGGAAAAAATAAAATACTATTAAGTTGGGGGGGAAATACTATACCTGACAAAAGAAAAAGAAAGTTTAAATTCCATTTCCTGCAAGAGGCCACACCTACCTCCCCACCCCCGCAGCTAGTGTCTCTTCTCCCCTGGGATTACCTCCTTTCTGTAGATATGTCTTGTATGTCTGTAGTTACTCACCTGTTGTCTCCCAGATAAGAATGAGTTGTTTGAGGACCAGTACTGTTTTTGCTTTTCAGTCCCCAGCATTTAGCATATAGTAAACTCTATATAGATGTTAGTTATTATTATTATTTAAATGCCAAAGCAGCCTTTTTTTTTTTTGTAGAGCCAACAGGGAGTCTCAAGAGCTTCCAAGCCAAGCTAGTTAAAGCAGCAAGGCAAGCAGGGAGAGGCAGGAGGTAGCATGTGCCACCAGACAAGTCAACCACCACCACCACCACCACCACTGTGGACACCATCTCCTTATAGACTCCAGTGGACACAGCCCAGGGCCCTGAACCCAAAATCCTTTGGAGCAGAACTACTTACAGCCCTGCATCTTCAGCTAGCATTCCGGGAAGCAGCCCCTATGGAGAAGCAGCCTGGCCATTGCTACAGCCATAGCTACTGAAGGCCCAGGAAAGAAAGTTCTTGCCACCAAAGTCTTAGGCGCTGACAGACATCAGAAACAAACTTATTTTATCTGTGGAGATGACGTTAAAGAAGAGGCTGTACCATCTGCTTTGCTTTTGCCCTAAGAACCATGAGATATTTCCCATTTTATTTGTAGCTGAACCCTTCCATATGTATTGTTTCCCCCATTACAATGTGAGCTCCTTGAGAGCAGAAGCTGTTTTATTTTTCTATTTGTATGCCCAGCACATAGCACAATGCTTTACATATATACTAAGTGCTCAATAAATGCTTTTCCTGATATCTTTGAATACATGAAATATATGTATGTATATGTGTATATATGGGTACATATACATATATGTGTATGTATCTATATACACACATATGCCTGGATAGGCTACATTTTCTTCCTCCCCTGGGAAAAGCTGAGACTATCCTGACCTCTGAGGGAAGAGAGGAATTCTCTCAAGCCATCAGTTTTTATTTGGGACTTTGACAGTAGCAGGAGAATTCGCTACAGCAGTGAGTGCTTCAACTACAATAGTAGTTGGGGAAGGAGATAGAAGCCCCTGAAAGTGGTTTGTCATGTGAGTTCAGAGACTAGAGTCTCGGCATTGCAGGCTTCATTCCAGTGGTCAGGCCTCCACTCACTGGAATAAAGAACACTGATGCATGGCTCTGGCTAGAATGGACTGAATTTATGATTTTATGATTAGAAGAGAAAAGCCAGTTGAATTCTTTATAATTTCTGCATGGTTCAGAGGTAGCTAGTGGATGGAGTGCCGGACCTGGAGTCAGGAAGCCCTAATTTCAAATCTTAACTCAGAAACTTAGTAGCAGTATGACCCTGAGCAAGTAAGTCACTTAACTTGTCTGTCTCAGTTTCCTCATCTGTTAAATGGGGATAATAACAACACTTAGCTCTCAGGGCTGTATGGGGATAAAGTGTTTTGCAAATCTTAAAGTGCTATATGAATGCTAGCTATATAATTATAATAATAATGTTATCATTATTGTGCAGTTTATCTGGCTATGGCTGATCATACCAGTACAAACTCAGAAGGCTCATGGTTACAGTTAAGGGAAAATTATAATAAAGCATCTTCATTGCAAATAATTTAATGAAGTTGACCTATGTAGGAATGAAATTATAAAATAATGCTTTCAGAAGAAATTTTAAACATTTGTCATACAGGTACTATAATCTAGTTCAAGGCTAGAGTTACTCAAAGAAAGATTGTTGGAGATGGGAAAAGACATTGCTTTGGACTTGATTTCTTTTGGCTGTCTTGTAATATTGTGCTTTTGTCCACTGCTACAGCGCAGTAATCTTTAACCTGGGATTTAAAAGATTAGCTCCATTTGAAAACCAGTGAAAAATGGTTAATCTAATCTACATAGAAGTGCAATATCTAACAAGTGGAAAGGAAACGTGGCTTTTTGGATAGAAACTGGCCTTTAGAATCCTGAAAACCTTGAGTTACGATAAATACTGCTTGTGTGACCATGGGAAAGTCACTTAACCTCCCCATGCTCTGAGGCAGGGGTGGGGAACTTGCTCTAAGGTAACTCTCTAAGACAGTGATCTCCAGAGTGAGGACTAGAGACCCTTGGGGAGGGCTGTAGTGTCATCCTCAGGGGACAATGACCTGACTCCAAGAATGCATTTCATTAACAAGAGTTGAAAAACAGTTTCTATCCCACCCTGGCTGCCAATTTCTAACACAAACATATCCACCCTTATTGCCCAACACTCTCTCACTCTGTTGTTGTTGTTCAGTCATTTCTGTCGTGTCTGATTCTTTGTAACCCCATCTGGGGTTTTCTTGAAAAAGACTGGAGTGGTTTGTCAGTTCCTTCTCCAGCTCATCTTACAGATGAGAAAACTGAGGCAAATAGGGTTAAATGACTTGCCCAGGTTCACACAGCTAGTGTCTGAGGCCAGATTTGAACTCAAGAAGATGAGTCTTCCTGACTCCAGGCCCAACACTCCATCTAGCTGTCCAAAGAAAGTAGCCCTTACTTTTCTGTACAAGCTCCCAATCTACCCCACTTCTGAACTGTTGTGGGCCCTTTGGGGGCACTTGTAATCCAAAATAATTGCTACTCTCAGCACTGGAAAATTCTGTCCTGAACCTCCTGCTCCTCAGAGCACTTCATCACTGAGGCAGGCACCCTTCAAATAAACTATGGTTATGCTCTTGGTAGCAGTGACTAATAACATGAATGAGTATTACATTTTTTCATTTTGGAGCAGTATAAAATGAGCTAGAATGGATGGATTGTGATCTAAGTGGAAGATATCATTACATTATCTCCCCCACCAATCTATCCATTGTCCACACCTTCCTGTGACTATCCAGGGTACCCTCCAAGATACCCAGGGTATCCCTCCAGTCACCTAAGTTTTCACAACCATGGTGTCTTCAATTGCTAACTCTCCTCAGCCCCATGTGTCCAATCAGTTACCAAATCTTGTTGACTTTGCCTCTCCATCTCTCTTTTATGTTCTTTCTACTGACACAATTACCATCCTAGTTCAAGCCCTTATCACCTCTGATTTAGACTATTGTAATAGCTTTTTAATTATTCCTGCCATTGTCCCTATCTATCCTCTCCAATTCATCCTCTCCACAGATGCCAAAATTATGTTCTTAAGGTTCAGATCTGATCCTATTACCCCTCTATTCAAAAAATGGCTCTCTGTTGCCTCTAGGATCAAATACTACTTAATCTTTAATCCTTTTTTAGTTTCTACTTTTTTGTGCAAATTTTGTAATATAAATA